CTGCAAGTCCCGTTGCTTCCCGGGCTATTATAGGTTAGTCTACGACGAGCATCAACCACGCAACTTTGATGTCGTAGCGCTGCAGGAACTATGCTGGGCAGGCTAGAAGGTATGGAAAAGGGGTCATCGAGCGGCTACATTTTATCAGACCTGTGACACCACCAACGAGCTGGGGATCACCTCACCAACACCACACAGAAAACCAAATCGACGGGAATTTTTTTTTTTCCAATTTACCAACGTTCGCACCTGCCACAGTGCGAATAAAGATTCGGACCACTACCTACCCGCAGTATGCATGCGCACTAAACTCCGTATAGCACGCATCGAAGTCGAATACAGCAACCATACATTGAGCAATTACGGGAAGCTGGAGTTGCCCAGGAATACGCACAGAAGCTAGAGGCGGCACTGCCAACGGAAGAGCAGCTTGGCGCAGCTACTCTTGAAGATGGCTGGAGGGACATCCGATCCGCTATATATAGCACTTTCCTAGTGGTATTAGGTACGCCGGCTCTGGACCAAAAAAATTACTTGTTAGACTAGACGGCGAATGCAAGGAATTAGTTAGTGGAGGAGAAGAATGTCGCCGCATCGCACGAGAGCGAATATGGAGTAATACAGACAAGTGTGGAACTGGCAAAGCTCGATCTTCTGGAAGATGAAGCGCCAACAGAACGACCAAGATCGCGATGTGTTGGAAGAACTGTACCAAAGATGAATACTAAGATGAAACTGTTGGAAGAAAAACTTTCTATTTTAGTGTCCTCTTTCACGGTCCCTTTCATCCAATAAATAACCCCTCGTATTCAAGGTAATTTTGTGGTTTTGCTGCCCCCTCGGTAGAGATGATATTTTGCACTCATTTTTATCAAAACAATCACACCAAAATCAGAGATGTCCCATTTTTTAATTACATACTCGATTAACAACTAATCGATTAACGGCGCCGGTGGTGTAGTGGTAAGCGTGATTACCTCTCACCCCAGCAGGCCTGGGTTCAATCCCAGTCGGCGCCGCCGGGATGTTCTGAGGCATAACATCTCTGATAACGCCTTTCTTCGGATGGGAAGTAAAGCCGTTGGTCCCCGGTTCATGAGTTGATGGGTCGATACGTAGGGTCCAGGTGTGGGAGCTGCCTTCCTGGCACGTCGGTAGCATTGGTGCTCAGCACAGAAAACAAGATCGACGGAAAAAACAAACCAAAGGAAAAAAAAAACAAAAAACTAATCGATTATTTTTTTGTTTGCTGTGCTGCCATTTTTCCACCAATGAGAGTGCAGCACATGTTTGAAACGATCGGTGATGATCCTCTGGAGATGTTAATGCTTATATCGGCATGATATAACCGATTACAAATATTTTACTTTCCGGTTCGTTGATCGATTAATCACTAGTGGTGGTAAGCTCCAACCGGTATTATCCTCGGATTAAATCCCGATCAAGAATGTCAGGCTGGTTTGATGTCGACAACAGAGTTATTCAACACAACTCTAAGCAAACACTTTGCAGATCATCCAAACAGGGACGGTATTAAAAGTTAATCCGAGTTGGAGCTTACCACCATAGATGAATGAGAAACGTCATTTAAAATATAAGGACTGTACATAAATAATGATACAATTTGAAAGGGACCGGGGCTAATCACAAATTACGTCCCCACGGTAACTGAAATATACACGAGTGTTCACCGGTTGACTATACTGTGCCAAAAATTACTGGAGAAGTGAAGCTACAAAAGGGGCGGCAAGTTTGATTGCCTGCTACTATACTGTAACGCCGTCTATCACCCGTTGCAAAGAAGTTCGTGGGGCAATAACAGGCGAGATTCATGGGTGCCCTCGCTACCAAGGCCAGGCATGGAAAATCATTTACATTCATTTGATGCAATCATTTACATTCATTTGCCTCTAACTTTTTGCATCAACAGCAATTGGCAAAATGATGTATAGAGCTTTAGTAGGTTTTGTTATTAGCTACAACTTTTGCCCATAACTCAAATCTGTATCTCTTATGCATCACGAATTAGAGCGGGCAGAACTTGTTACTATTTTTCAGTGAATGTAAAATACATTCACTGAAAAACAGTAGTGGCTTCTGTTCGCTCTGATTCGTCATACATAAGAGATACGGATTTAAGTTGTTAACAAAAGTTGTAGCTAATAACAAAACCTACCAAAGTTCCTTACACTATTTTGCGGAATTCTGTTGATGAAAAAAGTTAGGGGTAAATGAATGTAAATGAATGCACGAAATGAATGCAAATGATTTTCCATGCCTGACCAAGGCACAGTGGATCAGCGTCTGCTTCCGAGAATAAAACATTGACTTTCCTATTTTATTCACGCGCAGCAGTAATTTCTGCTCGACACATGTCTACTGCCTTTGTTAACGTAACATTCTCAATGGCAAGAAGCTTGGCTCTCATATTGTGCCATTTGTTAGACGTGATGACCTTGTATGCAATAAAGTCCACCTCTACCCGCTTGAGTTTGCTGTCTTATCTACACTGAAAAAAGTTTTCATATAGTTTCCATTGGGAACGCACATGATATTTTTCCAATAATAAAATTAATGATTTTTATTTGAAATTCAAATAATGTTCACACGATCTCATGAATTGTATATGACAAATCACATAAACTTCATTGGACACATAAGGTTCATTTGATTTTGTGATGCGATTCCCAATTATGAGATCACATGAAACTTAAGTGAAATTCTAATGGATATTTTCCATTGGAAATGTGATTTATTTTTTAAGTGTAGGGTCTTGAGTCGAGATGCGTATTCATCAATAGATTCATGAGAGCTTTGAAACGCAGAAAAAAAAATCCAATCGCTCCACTACAATATTTCGCTTCACGATCACCTTTTTGCGTATTGCTTAAAATGCAGTTTCCGGATTTGCCTTCTCCGTGTCTGTCAACTCGAAGTTAAAGTATTTTTTACGTGCCCGCTCTCCGATCACCGACAACAGGAAGCTCACGCTTCATGCCAATGGCCTTTGCCTAGTTCCAGTTCTCTCAAAGAACTCAAAATTGTCTTTCATATCGCCTTCCAACATTAGCGGCGACGGTTGTGGTACCTGTACATTAAATGCACTCGGTTGATGCATTGGCACTGGTGCTTGCGCCTGGTTTTGTGCTGCTGCACATTCATTCCTTTCAGCAGCTTTGAGAAAAGAGTTGTCTGGTGTTCCAGGAACTGCTTTGACTGATCCGGATCAATTTTGATGAGATATCTCGAACTCCGATTTTTCACTCACTCGCGGTCGAAAACAAAATGGCCGCCGACTTTGCGCGACTTGCAAACGTACCGCACGAAACGAACTTGTACTTGGGAATTCCGTGTTTTCACCAGTTTTTTTTTGCGATATTCCGATGAATAACGACGAAAACAACTATTAAACTAACACGCGAACTTCTGACATTATTTTTTATGTGGAATAAAACGCGGTACAAATAGTTTACTTGAGCTTTATTCTTGGACGACCCGAATACTTGCAGATGCTACTCAGTAATCATTAATTACAAAATGGTGGAGCAAAGCGAAACGAAAATGAGGAATGTGCAAATACTATTGATAAATTTACGCAAAGGTAAAACTGGCCAAAAAAAAAAAAATCCATACGATTTGACAGGTAGCAAAACGTCATTATCATTTTCACATCATTTCCATCTGCTGGTCGACCGTAACGTAAATTCATCAATAACAGTTTGATCTTCTTTTTTTTCCTCTGTTCGGGACTTAACACCACTCCGACCAGTAATTTGATTTATTGTATTTTGCCCCGTTAGTTTAGTACATGTCGTTTTGTTATGTATTCGTTTTTTAACAGTTGTCATTCTTGCATTTATCGCAAAAGTACCTTTTGTGCAGAATATGTAAAAAAAGAGGGATCAAATGTTAAACTAAATGCATATGTAGAGGTACCAGACATGTTTCATAGTGCCAGGTACACTGGAGTCGCTTTTTACGCGGTTTTTTACACGGTTTTTTTACACGGTTTTTTTACGCGAATTTCGGAATTAACGCGGTTTTTTTACGCGGATTTTGGTTTTTTTTACGCGGATTTAAGAATTTACGCGGTTTATCGTTATACACTAGAGTCGCTTTTTACGCGGTTTTTTTTACGCGGATTTCGGAATTTACGCGGTTTTTTTTTACGCGGAACGTACCACCCGCGTAAAAAGCAACTCCAGTGTACTCTATTTTGTAATCTGTGAAAGGGAAATCACAAATCTAGTGTCATCAAAATACATGGCATGTTGAGAGATTGAGCTCGTGAAAGAGAATTTTCTCTCTCAAATTTGAATCCTTTGGCTCTCTGAGGACTGGTAGTAAAGCAGGTAAAATCATTTTTATTTAATTGTAGCTTGTTTAACAATAATTTCCCGGAAAAAAACTGTACGACAAAGTCCCTGACTATTTTATTAAGGTTGTTGTTCACTTTTTTGACCTGAATATGTACCGATAGGGAAATATTCCCACTTCTCTCAAATTCTATATGGGGATTTTTATCACTTCCTACAAGCGGAACAGCGCCATCTCTGTGCAAAATGGCCGCATGAAATGATCAATTAACCCAGTGCATTTATCTTGAGAACACCGCATTGACGAGTCACGCTATTTGTATTGTTTATTATTAACTAAGATTTCAGTGGCACCGTTGGTGTAGTGGTAAGCGTGATTACCTCTCACCCTAGCAGGCCTGGGTTCAATCCCAGTCGGCGCCACCATAACATCTCTGATCACGCCTTATTTCGGAAGGGAAGTGAAGCCGTTGGTCCACGGCGAGGTCCCCGGTTCATGAGTTGATGGGTCGATAGGTAGGGTCCTGGTGTGGGAGCTGCCTCCCTGGCGTCGGTAGCATTGGTGCTCAGCACGGAAAACAAGATCGACGGAAAACAAATCAAGGAAAAAAAAAAAATATGAGCTATGAGTGTATTTATTTCATCCAGAAATTACAATCTGTTCACATTTCTAGACTTTTTGGCACATCAATAAATCGCAAATTTTATTTTTATGCAACTGCGTTCACCATTTTGCTAGCATCTGAGTTGTGTAGCGTTAAAGACAAATCCTCAACGGTCAAATCTTCGTTCGTCCGATTAGTTATAAGAACGATGGCTTCTGCAATCAGTTTAATTGTTTAGGTGTATTGGTGAACTAGTTCCACAAATCTCGCCAGACAATTGATGGTGTTCTTACCAGTGTGATTTTTATTCATCGATACCGCTTCCGTACTTTCGACAACTTCCTCGACAATCGATAGTCCGTCTGGATTTGTATTCGAGTCTGTAGTAGTTTCTGTATTTCCTAAATTCGTGATTTGACTTTTACCGCTTCTAATGGAAACAACACTGTTTCTTTTGGATAAATAGTTATTGTCATTTTCCGTTAACCAGCTGTGATATACTGAGGGAGCTGTTTTGGGACGTAACTCTCGTATACTAAATCTCGAACTCTGAAATTTGCATAGTTCATGTGCAATCGATATCAAATACAGATCAAAATGTACCTTTCTACGGATTCCAGTACACGGGCGGTGACTCTCAAATAGCTTAGAACTGTGCTCTAACATTACTCGATGAAAGTTAATCCTATTTGTGAGAAACTGCTTGTTAGCAGTTATAGTTTTCACTAGCCAGTTAATTCCAAACATGAGACCATCATATTCACTAGACTCGTTTAGCCATTTGCCGCAGGCTTCTAGCATACAAGGATTCCTAAACTTATTAGCTAGAAACTCGACATCTAAGTATTCACAAATATCTATGCAATCAACTGAACCCGGTATGTCTTGTTTATTCGCAATTATAAGGAATGGTTTACCAATTAGGAAGTCATGTGCCATTAAATTTTTGAATATTTTGTACGATTGACAGATATTATTGATACTCGAAGCATCTATAACAAAAATAACGCCGTACATCTGAAATGAAACTTTTTTTTTAATTGTTAAATTTTTAGATTAGTTGTTCCTACATCTAAAAAATAATATTTCCAAAGGTCTCTAAATTCGGGAGCTCCTCCTACTTCGGTGAGCTGTACGTTTGTTCCTGCTATAAAAAATAGATTACTTTTGAAGTTTCGTCATCAAACAATGTAAGGAAAACATTACCAACAATTGTGTTGAACACTCTACATCCTTTAGTCTGCAGAAACTCGTCCCGTTTGGATCCGCATATTTTATATGCCACTTCCGTTTTACCAGAATTTTCCAACCCCACGACAAGCAGTCCTAATACGTCACTAAAAAAGCAAAATAGATTCATAAAATGTTAACACCTGCTTATGAAAATTTATCCTAAACATACTCTTCTGGTTGCGCACGTGAAAAACACCGTTGTATGAAGTTACCCATTTAATTTAATAATAAATAATATATTACGGTGCATTAGCATAACATACAGTTGTAATTTGGTCCACTTTGCTCATTTACTACTAAATATTAATATGAGAAGCACTTTGTCACCATCTAGTGATTCAATGTTACACAATTTGTTTTGTTTATTTAACGCATGGCAACCGTTGCTATTGTGTATCCCCATGGAAACGGTAGACGTTCAGACAACAAACAGTAAGCAACATGTGGTTATTGGAGTTGTCTTTTCTACGTGGGTTGTTCTTAACGCTTTCAATTAAGTGTATTCATTAGTTCTACAGTTCGGTTTTTTTTTCCGTTTTTAAACAAATTATATAAAATAACATTAAAATTAGCTAAGATTAGTTGTACACAATTGCAATCAACAACTCGATGTCCTCTAACTCGTACGTTATCGACTTATAGAACCATAGTAAACATTAATTTCATGGCTTCTGTGATAATGATTTTGTACTGGAAATATAACTATAACTCGATGTTGTAGAGATAACATCGAGTTGTAGAGATTTCACTGTACACTCAAGTTTTTTCCCCTTTTTTTACACTGTTGGCGCGCTGAGTCGCAATTTACACGGTACGGTTTTAACGATTTATCGATAACGATACATTTATCGACTTGGTTCAAATCACTTTAGGGGCTGTTCATTAACTACGTAGACGGGATAATTGCCTACCACTCCCCTCTCATTAACTGTCTACGTAGTTAATGAACAGCCTCTTATACATTTCAAGGCACAGGTAATCGAATGGCATATACTAAAATGTCGTTTTCGTTTTTGCGGTGTAACTACACCGGTGCTACACTGCCGTACACCGAAATAATTTAGGGTGTAGATATACAAACATTGTTTACAAACAAATCAGTGTCAACATTTCAAAGGGGCGTAATTGCATTTTTAAACAATGGCTTTAGTCGTCGATTTCTCGCGAATAAAAGCTCACTCATGAAAAATAATGACACCAACAGGTAGAGGAATGTTTCCTCTATCAGCAAGCAATGTAATTTTGTAGAGGTAAGATTTCATTCGCGAGAAATTGACGGTTAAAGTCATTGGTTGCAAAAGCAATTACGCCCCTTTGAAATGTTGGCACTGAAATGATGTTGAGCTGTCACTACACTACACCAGTGCTACACCGCAAAAGCGAAAACAACAAAAGACCGTATATGGGTAATTTTTTTGGCTAGCATGTTCAACGCATGTATTGCACACAGCTGCTGTGACTCGATGGAGACGCATTGTGAACTACCTTGCGTCTTCATCGTTTCCATGCTGCGGAACAATGTTTTTATTTTTATCTTTATTATAGAGATTTATTGCGGAACAATGATTTTTTATTTAAATAAAAATTGTATCTCCAAAACGACTTCTTCGACATCGCTGATTTTTTTTATATGTTATGTTAAATTAAATGATCTTTCAATTGAAAATACTAAAATAAGAAATTGTTGAAGACCCTCGCAGTTAAAATCAAGAAAAAGCATTTGTTACGTATCTTCTTCTTTCCTTTATTTAACATCGGTCTCTGTTCCGCAATCTACTGCCAATCACCGACGGACATCGATTGCCATCCATTGACGACAATCGAATGTGCAGGAAGGCAGCTTCCACACCTGCGTAGGATATCGCACCCATTCACAACACACATGGGCCGGGACCAACGGCTTTACTTCCCTTCCGAAGGAAGACGTGACCAGAGATTTTTATGCCTCAGAAAAATCCCACCGACCTCGGCTGGGATTGAACCCAGACCCATTGGGGTATTAGAAAGCAGTCACGCTTACCACAACACCACCGGCGTCGGCATTTGTTACGTATGTTTTTCATACAAAATCAAATATTTCTGAGTGTTTCATAATTTCCCTTAAAATTAAATTAAAACATCTTACATAACATAACGCTATTTAAAAGTTGAAGCATGCTCTATTATTAATGTTAAAACGTTTAAAGCATGTCTTGCCGTTCAGAATATGGAGCTGATCTCTGGATTTAAGCTGATGTTGGTTGATAACGGCTGGGGTCACTGGTGCTGGATCAACCTAACCCCTGCGCAGAGTTTATTGTTCACAATGTAGTATATTAGAGTTTCGGAAACTTTTATTTAGCAAGCGACATCCTGTTCAAAAGTATTTACTTCATTTTGTTCAGTATTATGCTAGATACGCCAACACAATAATAATAAATCTACTGTATTTTTAGTTTCTCTGGACAATTATATTGATAGCTGACAGCATTCATAAATGCTGGTTGAAGGAATACTAATTTTATTACACAAAATAAGCTGCGAGCTGAGCCATCTTGTCTTTCGGTGGCTTGTTACGGCCTCTGCTGCTTTTTCCGCCACGACCGCGTACACTACGACCTCTGCCCCTGCCACCCTGCGCCCGGCGCATTTCAACGGCTTTATGCTTTTCGACCTGCAAAAATAAATAGATTAGTTTCTTCACATTCGGGTTGTTTCTGTGTGGATTCACAAACCAGCGGAATGAAATCTGTAAAGCAAAAAATGCACCCTTTCTTATCGGTAACATCATCTTTGAACGGTGTTTTTTCGGCTTTGTAGATTGCAGTGACTTGTTGCGCTCCACATTCTTCACAAGAATCGGCTGTAAAAAAAAAAACAAAATAATTAAATGGAGTCAACGGATTTGGAATAGGAATTCCAGCAGTATCTTACCTTCGACATTAACTCGCACGGCATCGTCGAAGCAATTGATGATGACGTCGCAAAAGTTGCATACCAATCTCCAACTTTTTGGAGACATGGTACAATCCAGTACTAGAACACCACGGTCACATTCAATACAGCTGGACACGCCCAGGCTGGACAGCGAATGGGCACACGTTGGATGCGGACAGCTGTTACATCCAGAGTTCTTGGGCATGTCCCTGAATGGAGGATAATTGTAGCAGTATGGGCACAGCGGATACGATTTTCCCTTGGCTCCGTTCGACCAGGCTAGCAGCTCAAAGTCATCAAGTGGACATTTTAGCTCGCGATAAACCCTTACTATGCCCTTCGTTGGCATTGTGTATGTTTCGTCACATTGGGAACAGTGTAGTCGCGCCGGTTTCGTCTGGATGTACTTCATATAACGGCGGCATTTGCCGCAACGGGACAGGGCTTTTCCTGAAGAACACAACGAAGAGAATGTAGCTTCAAAGAGAATGTCCATATTGCTTATGTTTTGGACGAAGTAAAGGAATTTCAAGCGGAAAATTTCAACAGCATGCTTGAGAACACAACGGAAATCCGCATGGCCATGCGCTATGAGATTCAACTGTTGCTCTACAGCCGTCCGCATAGTGGGTAGAACTAGCTCCGGGTCAATCTGCAATCAAATAACAATCGTCAAAACTAATAGCTTTAGCAAACTATTCAATAGAGCACCTTTTGATACCCGTGAACCAAAACAATGCCGAGATTCGTGGGTGTCAGCGTCCGTCCTCCGCCAATTGTAACGTAATTTCGCTGACATATGTTATTGATATGCACCGGTATAGAAGCATCCGTACCGATTCCATGTTTCTCCATAAGTGAAATGAGCTCAGACTCAGTCAGATAGTCCGGAGGTCCCGTTTGGCTTTCCACTAATCGAACATCGTTTATTTTGACTTTTTCATTCACCGTGAACGGGGTAATGACTTCGTTCTTATTGAACGCTTGCCAAGTCATTACCTTTGTATAGCCGGGATCGATCAGAACGCTAGACGTGTTGGTGAACAATTCGGTGCCTATTTTGAATTTAGTGGTCGTCAGTCGGTATTTGAGATCACGCGAGATGGTGCCAAGGAAATGACGGACAATGTAATCATATACTCGCCAGTTGTCACCACCATCCAGCTCATTGCGAGATGCCAACTTCATGGGAGTAATGGGAGGATGATCTCCGGCGTCCGATCCTTTACGAGGGGAATTCATGTCGCGCAGAATGTCTCTGGCTTCCTCTCCAAATTCCGAAGACGATTGGAAAAGTTTTACCACGCCGCTGAAAGAAGTATAATTGAAGTATTAGGGTATGTGTTGTACTACAAGCTTATGTCTTCAGTTTCATAGTTTATTGCTGTTTTCAGAACCAAGTTAGATGCTGAGGAAATCGAAATAATTTTTCCATCTATCTTTCCTCCATGAGAAAAACATTTCATGGCCTGAAATTCTATGATGCTATCATCGTAAATGCAAAAAAGACTGTCCTTAACAACCTAGAAAATTACCGAGTAATGTCCATTTTCCAGCCAATTCTGGCTTCCCGAGAATCGGGAAATAACTGAATACCAGTGATCAGATATAATTTTCTATAGTTATTAATTAGAATTATAACTCAGTCAGCCAGCAGAAAACATATTTCAATAACTTCTAGTATATTGATTTCACCCGCAAGATTTGTACGAATTCCCCCCGGATGTGTCTCCTGATTCGTCCTGGATTCTCCGTTTTTTTTTTCACTGGAGGTTTTTCCATCTTTCCCTTGAAGATTTTGACCGGCTTCTTCAGAATGATTCGGATGATTTCTCTCTCTTCCAACTTGCTCTGGATGAATTTTCCAATTTTCCCTGGAAGTTTCTTCAAACTTCCCCCGAAAATTTCTTCCATCGTTCAACATTTCTTCAAATTTTCTGCTCCAATAGAATGTTCTGACTTTCCTGGAAGCGGAAATTATTGCCCATTTCACCCGGAAATTCCTTCTGACTTGCCATGGAAAACTTTTCTGAATTCTTCTGTAACTTTCTTCCAGCTTCCCCGGAAGTATATGTAACCGCCTTTGTTTGAGTCTTCAGACTCCCAGAAATTCCTTTAAACTTTTCCTGGAAGTCTGTGCCAAGTTCTTCCGGAAATTTGTCACTGCTTGCCCCGGTAGCCCGCTTTGGTAGCTTTTCTGACTTCGCATTCAAGATTTTTACAATGGAAATTTATTTAAATTTTCTCCAAAAGTTTTTCCAAATTACTCCGGAAGTTTCTTCCAGATTCTCCCTCCGGATGTGCAGGGTGTTCATCCAACCGGGAAATCCGGGAAAACCCGGGTATTCGGATTTACCGGGAAAAAAACGGGAAAAATGCGGGAAAACTTAAATTGCACCGGGAAAGATCATATATACTCATCCCAAGTAAAATTTTTGATTTTATATTAGTTTTGTATGCCATTATTTGGTCTTGAAGAGTCCTTTAAACTTATAATGTTACTTGGAATCAATCAACTTTATAATAACTATTATAATTATTATATTCTCTTGCATACAACTTTCATATTATTCTTTTCTCTCACTCGCAATTTGTTCGCGCCCGGATTTTTTTCAATGACCTGAATTTTGATAAACCTTTGAAGGCCGAAAGCTTTAGTATCGACAAACATCGGAAAACCCTCGGAAAAACCATGTAGTTGAATCTTCTTTTTTCAGAAGTTCTTTTCGAAGCACATCAAATTGTATTTTCTACAAGTCCGGAATCAGAAAATTTCCAATCCCAGATTTTGGATAAATTCTATGTTTAAAATCATGAAATATTTTCTATATTTTAGAATCATTAAATGTTTCTCGGACTGTGAACTTACATTCTAACATATAGTAAATTATTCTGTCTTAAAAGTGACGCAGGGACAAAGCGCCTCATTTTTTTTTTCAATTTCAAGATTTCCTAATAAATTACTATGTTCAACTTTCTTAATACATGAAATTCAACCAATTCGCGATCTGAAAAATTTTCAAATTCTGTTCACAAAATTTTATCATTATCTCTAAAGGGTTATTTTTTAACGCCTTTTTTGTTGAAGGTAGAGTTTTTTTTATATAACCGGGAAGTGAAAAATGGAATTTGAATGGACACCCTGGATGTGTATTTCTACTTCTCTGATTTGTTTTTACTTATGTCCCTCCGGAGGCTTCTTCCGACATCACCTCGAAGCTTTTGCAATTTCCTCGGGAAGTTTTTTCAGTTCCTCCAACGTCCCTGGAAGTTTCTGCCACCTTTTTCTCTAAGTGTCCAATGGCTCCTGTGGATAGGTTCTTCCAATTTCCCCAAGTACATCAAATTAATAAATAAATTTCCTGAGTTTTTTTTTTTTCTTTGATTTGTTTTTCGTCGATTTTGTTTTCCGTGCTGAGCACCAATGCTACCGACGCCAGGAAGGCAGCTCCCACACCTGGACCCTACCTATCGACCCATCAACTCATGAACCGGGGACCAACGGCTTTAATTCCCTTGAGCGGTGTGCAATTGGTGCTAATAGTAGATGAACATTTTGAAAGGTCCTATTTACTTTGATCGATTTTCTTCATTGTAAACAGATTTTGTTCTATTTTTGAACATAGTTTGATAAAGTTGCTCCTAAGCATCTAAATCATCAAACACATGGAAATGATTTTACAGCTGAGTTATTAATGAAAGAGAAAGTCCATAAAGAAAACCGTTCAATGCAGATAGGGCCTTTTAAAATGGATATCTAGAATGCTACTAATTTACCGCATAAAGGTTTTTCTTGATTTTTCATCTTGTAAAATGGTTTAAACACTTACACCAAATCGAAGTTTGCCGGATATTGGGTAGTTTCCGTACGAGGATAACTGATGTAACCGCGAGTATACAATCTGTATGAAAAAAAAAAGTATAAACATATGTAAATCGTATCTGTATCAGTTTCATAATACTTACTTTTCAGCTATTTGCATTGCTGAATGTGGACCAATACCCAGCCCGGAACTGGCCGCTCTCATCAGTTCTACAGTATTCAAAGCCTGAGGTCTACTTTTGAACGTTTCTTTGGATGTAACGTTTTCGACTCTGAAATTGCAAAATAATTAATAATTTACATCAAGATGTTCGAAATTCTAGCAAAGTACAACTCACAAGGCTTCTTTCTGGTCTTTAACTTTATTCAAAAACATGCAGGCAACCTCTTTCTCGAAGATTCGGACCCTTGACCAATCGAGTTTAATTTCCGGATTTTCCCCTACAGTCACTTGAACATACCAAAAGCTTTCAGGTTTGAAGGTCTGAATCTCATCGTGTCGCTGTACGCAAAATCCAAGCGTAGGTGTTTGGCACGGGCCATAGGAAATAAGAGACGCATCCAAGTCTGCGTACTTACCCTGGAAGAATTTCGTTTGAAACCGAGTAAATGCACAACCGATTCTGAGATCCAGTTCCTGTCGAGCATCGACGGATTTCGCTTCATTTTCGTTGGGATGAATAAGGTTGTCCATTGCATATTTGATATCCTTATCGGTGATGGCAGAAAACTTGGCCCTGTACGTGACTCTGTCAGATTGAACATTACGGATCACACCTGAAACCGCCGTCATTACTTCGAAGCAGATGTTCTCTCCTTCTTTATCGCAATCAAGCCAAAGAATCAAATAGTCGCAACCTTTCGCTTCCTGGCTCAAAAATGCCGGCATACGAAGATTCGGAGTGGACTCCTTTTTTTCAGTTGGACAAGAGAACAATTCAGCCGGATCCACTTTGTCCCATGAGTTGAACTTGCCTACAAATTCCAGGCCCATAATGTGTCCGCATACGGAAGTCATTTTAAACCTTACTTGCTCTCCGTGGAAATTTCCATACCATTCGTGCACCGAGCAAGCATTATTGGACCCTGTAAATAAAACAAAAAAGAATCCATTCATGGACATCTTCCTCCCACGAAATCTACAAACGAATGTGATTGTTGTTGTCACTCGAAAGGGTGTGCTCAGCCTAGCGTCGCAGATTTTAATGTACTGAATTTCGTATACGTACCCTTCCTGCTTGAACACTTTCCGTTGCTTAAAATTGTTGCTAATGATGCCGCCAATGAAGGTTTTTCAGCTACCATCAAAGCAGACTTCATTTTTGGACACAATAATTATGTTCCAGAACCGGGAGTCACAATCTGTTTCAACTTTTGGCAACTAAAATCTGACAACTGGATTTTCTATTTACAACCATACATGCTAAAATCAAATTCTTGAAAACAAGGTTTTGTTCAACGTGAGCAAAGAAAACAGGGTGCACAGAGCTTAACCTTTTGTAAACCACAAGTATTATAGGGTTGTACAAATGATTCTGTTTGCTCTTTTTGATTCCAAAATAGCGCTTATGGCATTCGAAATACTGAGAGCCAGAAATGAACGGAGAAAGCAAAATGCAATTAGGGGTTTCGTGCTGTTTCTGACAGCACTCACCACCAGAGGGCGATCGGCCTTCGATCGTGGAAATTCGACTTGAGAGTAGAGTTGTCTGTTCCCGAAAAAAAAGTAGAAGGGTCTGTGCCTAGGGGCACAAACGGAAGCTTGACGTAGGACCGCTAGTGGACGGAATAAATGTGAAGAGCATTAAGTTCTTTTAATTGATCAAATCAGGCATAACATTTGATAACGGCACAAAAGCATTTGTAAACAAACATTCTAAATAAGGCCCTTTACACGCGAACTAAAGTACGCCCACGCAAACCAATACCACTTACGGAAAGGTGATAGTTGCCCCTATGCGATGATGTTGTTGGTTTGCGTGGGCGTACTTTGGTTCGCGTGTAACGGGCCTAAGAAGGTTTGTTTACAAATGCTTTTGTGCCGTTATCAAATGTTATGCCTGAAATATCTATTATCTCAACTCTTTCCGGTTTTGAATTGTAGGCGATCCAAATTTGTAGTAATCTTTTTCAAAAAGAAAGTTGATTACGAGAAGGTGGCCAGTGAATTTTCATTTTGAAAATCCCGGTTTTTTCCCGGTTTTTCCGGTTCAAATCTTAAAAATTCCCGGTTGTTAATAAGCAACAAAAAAAAAACAAAATTTACTGATAGGATAAAAAAATGTGATTTAAGAAGATTCCCAAGATTCTGGAGCTTTGAAATTTGTGTAGAGTCTGAAACTAGAACTTTTCTTCAAAATTTGTGATTAATAACATGCTTCGTGATGCAAGATTTGGAGAAACAATAATTAAAATGTGAAATTTTGAATTTTTTTCAAGATCACAGATTTATAAAAAAAAAAAAAAAACATCATACTTATGAGTCGTGGAGTCATAATTGTCACGCTCTGAGACTTGGAAGCATTTTAAGGGTAATAACAAATTACATAGCAATCTGTAGAATCTGGCGGACAAACCCTGGAATTTTTAGTAAAATTTAAAAGAATTCAAAGTGTTGATTAAAAACAAATATTGAGAAGGATTCCCACACAGTTTTCGAAGGAGAAGAGCAGATTTCCAGAATTATTCTTACATGAAATCCATAGAAATTGTTAGATGAATTTGGAAGGATTTCTTTCGAGAAGAATGCAAGTTCTAAATTAAACTGTTAGGTAATTTTAGTAGATTTAAAAAAGAATTGTAAAAATAAAAATAAAACATTGCAGAAAATTCCTACGTGGTTCTGATGAGATTTGTATGGGCATCGTGAGGAACATGACAGATGAATTTTAAGAAGAATTCCAAGAGAATTATGATCGGAACTCAACAAGAAACAGAGTTCTTAAAATATTCTGGCAATAATCTCAACCCTAGTGCGAATGATTCATCACATAACCCAAACAAAATTGATTCCAAAAAATTTGCAGATAATTAGAAAGAAATTCTTTAAAATACTCCAAGGGGTTTATAAATTAATTTTCGAAAGATTTCTTTTGTTTTGAATAGAGTTAAAAGGAATGTTTGAAAAGATTTTTAAAGGAATCAAAGTCTCCGGATAGGCGGGAACGGGAATTATATGAAGGATTCCAATAAATTCTTAGAAGGGGTGGGAAGAAAATTCCTAAAAGAATTCAACGGTAATTATTACGCGGAGTGTTTTCTGGTTTATTTCAGAACAATTTCAAGATAATTCAGAGCAGAATTCCAAGTTAATTATAGAATTCATCATGAGAATTTGAACAACGAAACATTAAAACCCCGGAAAAGAATAATCCAGTTTCGTTTTTTACAAATATTTGTTTCCAAACTCCAGCATCTTCAATATTTCCTTTAGAGGACCATGCACTTTACATCTGAAATTGAAACGACAAAAATCAATTTGCAATATTGCTGAGTGATTAAATTCTAAAAACAATAAGACGGTATACTGAAGAAAATTATGCAACAAATAGAGCAAGACATTCATTTGCTAAAGGATCACTCTGTTTTAATGGTTTATTCTGAAATTCTGATGTAAAAATTTGTTCCTATGATATGGTTAATTTATTTTCCCGGTTCTCTTGCAGAATTCACGGGTTTTTCCCGGTTACTTTCCAAATTCCCGGATATTTCCCGGTATTCCCGGATTTCCCGGTTTGCTGGCCACCCTGAATCAATCAAAATCACTTGCACCCCTGCTTCCAAGTTTGTGTGGTCGTTGGGGGCTTGTGGTTCTGAATATGGACAAACAAGCATAGATAAATTCTATTTTAACTCTTTACTGATGTAAGCTTGATGGCCCTGAAAAGGGCCGTTTTATTGAAGAGGACATCCATGGCCACTTACGCTTGGCGTGTTTAGTGTAAGTGACAGCAACACGGACCTCATTTTCCACGAACACCTTCAGCACACCTCGTAGATCAGACCGGAGATACGTCAGACACTGCGACGGCGAGCCAGACGACGGATGGTGGTTATCTAGAAGAATTTGCGATGACGATTGGCACCTCCTTTGCCACGACCTACTGCTACTATTGCTCACCACGCCGTCCGAAGCGAAAATGAGCTGATACCAGACAGCAGCGCTGCTTTATATCTTTTTAGGTTAAAGCAGCATGATGTGCAACCAAGTGGTATAAAAGCTACAAAGACTCCTCCCATTATGAGTAGTTTGCTATCAAGTAGCGACACTGGCTATTTTCTTTTTGCGTACACGGCGAATGAGAACGCCCCAAATTTGAGTTTAGTTCACTCATAATCGCCAAAAGTGTAGGAACTCAGCGATGAGTAAATTTGTCTCATGATTTCCTGTGGAAATCCTAAAAAATCTGCCAGAAAATGAGGAAATTGACGAAAATTTTATTCAGTCTCGGAGTAGTACCAATAGACTGAGTGAATCCAATATTTACTTTTCTCAAATTCGGGAATTTTCCCTGGAAAATCCTGGAAAAATCTGGGAAAACATGAGGAATATTTACTCATCGCTGAGTTCCTGCACTTATTTCTGAGATAACTAAACTCAAATTTGGGTCGTTCTCATTCGCCGTGATAGATATCGGCGCCAGTGGTTAGCGTAATTACCTCTCACCCCAGCAGGCCTGGGTCCAATCTCAGTCGGCGCCATCGGCATGTAACATCTCTGGGAGCTGCCTCCCTGGCGTCGGTAGCATTGGAGCTCAGTACGGAAAACAAATCTCGCGTCTCTTTTCAATAGGTCCTATCTACATTGATCGATTCTCTTCATCGACACTCTCTTTCGTAAATAACTCGGCTTCACAAATCTGGATCAACAATAGAAAAGAGCCCATCAGCATTTGTAAACAAACCGTTCCAAAGCCCTTTACTCACAAAGCGAAGGCCACCCACACAAACCAACACCATCATCGGATAGGGGAAACTTCTACCTACAAGATGTTGGTGTTAATTTGTGTGAGCGGCCTTCGATTTGTGAGGCTTTGGAACGGTTTGTTTACAAATGCTGATGGGCCCTATTCTATTGTTGATCCAGAAATGTTTCCTGCCGTCTTCGTCGAATTAGATGCTAGATTGTTGCTTCTTCCATCGAAAATATCCGGGCGTGGCGATTCAAAGTTGATCAAGGTTGATCAAAACAATTTGTATCCCTGCTTCCAGTTTGATCACATGAGCATTTTGTGTGGTCGGTGGTTCTGAATATGGGCAAACAGGCAGATGAATTCTATTCCTACTCCTTACTGTAATAAGCTTGGTGGCCCTGAAAAGAGCCGTTTTGTTGCCAAAGTTGGTGATGATTTAACCTCCGAAACCAAACAGAGTGCGTCTCTGTCACTTCAAAACGTAGATGACATCCAAAGCCGCTAACGCTTGGCGTGTTTAGTGTAGGTGACAGCATCACGGATCTCACTTTTCAGGAACACCTTCAGCACACCTCGTAAATCATACCGGAGATACGTCAGACACCGCCAGGGCGAGCCAGACGACGGATGGTGGTTATCTCGAAGAATTTGCGTTTGGTTCTGAACATGGCGATGAGTGTTTAAAGTATTACGCAATTCCATCCTCCCTATTCGCACGCGCCCGAGGATCGGAGGCGAATGCCACTTCGACTTGTTTCGTCTACTTACTACTCTCTGACGACTGTGCTGGGGAAGCAGCATATGCATGTAGGTAATTGGTGGATTTGTTAGTTAATTCGACGCTTTTGGACAATGCTGAACATTTACCAGTTTTTCAATAGTTTCTTGTTTAAAATCAACATTCGGAAGCAATCAAAATCAAAATCAATGCGTAGCCATATTTCTGATCGATTGGTGATAAAATTATTGAAATTGGACCAGGGGTAGCTGAGTTATTAACGTTCAAAATCTTTCTTAATTTGTTACATGTTCCATTTTCGGTTTTCACAAAGTGTACCCCCATATAGAAATCAAAGACGTAGTCCTACGTCAAAAAACTACAAAAATACAATAAAAACGAGCAAAGTCAATAGTCCATTTTACGAAAAGACAGGAGCTGGTTTGCCTAACCGAATTTGATGATATTGATGTTGCTTCTCACAGCCGTTAGGTAATGGTGTATGATGATATACAATTTATTCTCTGGGTAATCCAAATTCTGAAAACCATAGATCATTTTATATTATAATAAAATAAAAGGTAAATAACAATGATATGCTATTTGATACATCTTCTGGTCCTTCAGGATCTGCAGGACAACTATTTTCTGTAAATGAAAATTATAGTTATAATGATATAATGAGATTTTAAATATGTGAAATAAAAATAATTACTAGTCATGCAATATATAAAATATAA